TAGCAATACTTTCAATTTTTCGATGCACTAAAAATTTGCATATTTTCAAAAATTCGTTCGTTGTTTGGACCTTAACTGCAATCGTATATGTAAATGAATGTGGATTTTTTGATAAGCGACCGCTCGAGCAATACTTCCACTTTTTAGTGAACTGGAAATTTGCATTTTTTCAAAAAATTTGCATTTGTCACTTTTTAACGGAGCGAGCACTTAACGAAAAAACGACCAGACTTCATGCAAAAAAACCCGTAATCGTGCACCTGGATGTCCGTGGGGCTCTATAATGCACCACCTTCATCCCAACTGATGCTCTTCCTCCTGCATGCCGGTAAGGATCAAAGCACGGCAAATATTAGCCCAAGTGTTAGGCTACAGCGTAGGGATCATTCCTGCTAATAGCGATCTGGGAGTTTAGTACAAAAACGTATGATCGCACCGGGGAGCCTGGTGCGTCCCAGCCTGGGTTATTAGTCATACAAAAATAAATTTTTTAATTAAAATTCACCTCATTTTATATTTATATGGAGCAACAGGGCAGTAAGAGGCAAAACTGCGAAACCCAATTAACATGAGGATCAACCTCAAGTTCATCCTGAAGGTGTGAGTGAGTTTTTATTCGTTTCTGTATCTCCGATGAATGTAAAAAAACGCATAACTGATCGCTTCCGCAGCTTAAACGTAACGTGTACTAGTATATGTGTGTTTGTGTATGTATGTGCATCCGTACATGTGCGTGTGGTGTTCGGATTTTTTTTTTTTTTTGTCCATTTTAAACTCAATAAATCGAAACTAGGAAGATGAAAAAAAAAATAAAAATTAAATCAAAACTAGAAAGATTTACTAAATCGCACAGTCCTTGCAATGTGGCGTGAAAATGATCGTTCAAAACTGATGTGATGAAATGGTTTGAGCTTTAATGCAGATGTCAGCCACCTATTCTAGCATTATTAGAATTATTAAAATCAGTTCCGATGGGAAGTTCATTGAAACATACCTGGATACATTGAC